GGGAAGGCACGAAGGCACATGGCAGTAAAGAAATCCAGGGATGAGGACTCCTGTTTGCTCGAAAAGGGTCTGTGYAGACCTACCTTGGGCAACAGGAAAGATGATCAATAAAGGAGGGATATAACATAGCTGCTGCTTCTATTGAATCAGCGCCTTCTATCAATGCTCAAGTGACACTGACCTGCACTCCAGAAGAATCTTAGGCTCATTTCAGCTCCTGCAAATTCCTGTTCCCTGGCAGCTGATGCCCAATGGCATACTGAGGGTCACTTTGAGGAGGAGGGTGTAAGCTGGAAAAAGAAAAGAAGGAAAGAGTCACAAAAAGGACTTAGTGGAAGCAAAAGAAGTGTTATTTCCATACTGAAAAGGAAAAAAAAAAAAAAAAAAATCACTCAGCTCACTGCCCCTTACAAAGTTGTCTGTGACTTTATCTCTGTGGGTCCAAAGAAAGCTGGAAAAACAAAAACAAACCAAAAAAACCATGCATATAAATTCCTAGAAGTGAGACTATGAAATAAGTCTCCCATCTACACACATGCCCACCAGAAGGACAAATAACATCGTTACATAGACTGACATACCAGGTAGCTCCTCTTTGTCCCATAAGTAGGGACCCAGGACAAAAATATCTCRTTTTTTTGTCTCACCGTGCAAGGCACCAAAAGTTCAGACTCTAAGCTGTTGAATTTCAAAGGCTTTTCTCCCTTAAGAAAATARGAATTTAATGTGAGCTTGACATCTGCATTTGATCATGTGGTAGCACATCTAATGCACCGACACAGCATTGGAAGGTTCGGGGAAAGAGGCCTCACTTCTGCTCATTTGCAGCCCAGGAGATGGAATGAGAAAGAAGCAGAAGCTCAGCACTTTCCTACCTTTTTATTCAGGTAGGCAGAACAGCCTCATCTTGCAACCTGCAACATAGGCCCTCGCACGTTTTCCTGAGGCGTTACTCCTGCTGTTTGCAGCTCCCAGCCTGTGACTGTATTGGGTCATCTTTGTCCTCTCTTGCTCTGTTCATTAATCAATGGCTCCTCTGAATTTGAATGAGTTCAGAATGGAACCAGGTGAAAGGAATGGCAATTTGCTCACAGCTTGATAATTACACATTTTTCAAAATAAATTAAAGACAGAGATAACAGCAGCACACTGTTTTCAGAAGTCCTACTTATACAGAGAAATTAATTGGAAAGTACATTGATTAGAAGGGCTGTTGAATTCCAGCTTGAAATTTATTTCTCCATTGTTTCAAAGCAGCTCTGAAATAGCTCACCAAAGAGAACCTCTTACTCCTGCTCAGACTTCTGCAGGAAGAAAGCAAGCCTAAACAACCTCTCCTCATGTGAAGTCATCTTTAGAAAAAACTCATTTCCTCACAGAATAGAGCAATGTTTGGGAAGGAAAAAGATCATAGCCTTTGGTGAATCCTTGAATTAGGCTTAGCCAAGGCAGCAAGACTCCAAGATCAATTAAATCAACACAGCATATTGCAATGAGTACTTTTGCAAGAGAAATGCTTCTAAAGAGCTTCTTTCATCCCAAGACACACAAATCAGGAGTATGGGTGAGCAAGCAGCAGACAAACACAATGTGCACTTCTACTTCTTACAGAGGAAATGTCAAAGCCAACTATAAGAGAATCTTATCCCCTCTAGATCTAAAGGCTCATGATTACTTGTTGCAGAAGGGTGTCTAAATCCAGCCCAAACACACTGGCAACCAGCCACTCCATCTGAAGTGGGGGATTGTAGCACTTTGCGGAACACGTGTGGCTGTGCACGTGCCATTGCTCTTGCACAACATGCTGCTAGAGCTGGGTTCTGAGCTTCTTGCTTAGGGCCATGTCACCACTAATGCAGAAGAAAACCACGTGTTCCAAGACTCTTCATATCTTTGCATATCAGAAGGAACACACCATATTGCCATAGAAGAACTATAACGCAGGAAAAAAAGAGGCAAAGAAACACAAGTCAGGAAATGTTATCTCATTTACTGCTGGGCTCAAGTGCACTTTTGACTACAGACACTTCTAATACTGTTTGCCTCATCAATTCTTAAGGACCTCTAGTGACATAACCTCCATATACACAGTAGGAAACCTCTTCCATGTGTATCGCCAGATCAGCTTTTAATGCTTTTTATACTCTTCTCTGGACAAGAAGCTCCTCCCATACTTTTTCCTGAGCTCCTCTCATACTTTTTCAGTCCATGAGTTTCCAAGTTAATATACAAAAGTAAGAAAGATAGTTACTTCAAGAGCAGGTTTTGAAAATCACTTGGTTATGTAACCTATTCTCAGTATAAGGAAATCCACCTGGAGCTCTTTAACCTCCACAGGTCTTTTTTATTCATAACCTTTCAGAATCTGGCAGCTGTTCTCCCTGGCTTCTTGGCACAGCAGTAAAGTAACAAGGTAACTTTTCATTACGGCTCTGAAGCAGAAGTCATATATCCAAAACATACCTCCATTTTGGAATCACCTGGATGCTTTTCAAGGCACATCAATCAAATTTCTGTAAGAAATCAAAAGAACCGTGTGAGATTTACACTTGCTGTATTTAATAAGGCTATTAAACACAGACAAAAGGGACTTGGTGATTGGCATTAATGGCATTTTTTTTTTCAGTCCTCACCTCCTTGTGGTTCCTTTGAGTGAGCTGAACCTATCTTGAAGTACAACCATTCATTTTTGCYGATTTAGAAAACCACCGCTGGTGCTTTTAGAGTTTTTCCAGCAATACCGCCACTGTGACAAATATTATAAAAGTTGTGCTGTCTTCCCATGCACAAACCCATCTCAGCCTCTATGCAAGAAGAAACAATCTAAATGCCCTTCCCGTTCTCACCCTTCTTTTTGGAATTCCTTGTTTTTAAGGGTGAATGAACTCTACCTAGGTATTTCTACCACCAGTCATCTTACTAATTAGTATTATTGCAGAAAGTCTCCTCAATCCAGTAATTTAAGCACTCCATCCGCAGACCTCTTAGGCAACACACAGCAGGACTAGGTAGCTATTYGAGACAAGGAGAGAGAAAAGATGCTGCACAAAGCCAGTATGTACTTCTGCCAGCAGACATTCCCACTGGCCTTTGTCAAATACTAATGTCATCCTCATAGAGCACAAAAGGACCAAATCAAGCAGAGGGCACGAGCCACGTCTCTGCAAACCCTCTAAGAAGTGTCAGTGACTGGGAGGACTGCCCAGTGCCAAGCCAGAGGAATACTCCTCAGGCTTTCAGCTCCCTTGCAGATTGCTGTGGGTCCTGCTTCGTTAACTCCTTGGGGCTGCTGCAGAGCACAAAGAAGCACAGCATGAAAAATTTTCATTTTCTTTTAAACAGTAAAGCTGGGTGGAATGAGGGCGTCTGCAGATAATTAAGGAGCCATCAAACTTGTCTTAAAAACAGCCCTTAATAATGCACCCCCTCCTCCCTCCAGCCAACCTGGTAATTGTGACTAATTTCTAAATTTTCATGCAGTTGTTGCATTTGCCTGCCCTTAATGAGATGTAAATGTGTTGCTGGTTTGTGAATTTGTTTAATTGCAGGGTAGCTAAACCATGATTGGCCAAAAGGTTCATTTTAAAAATTATTTATTTAGTACACATGCAAGGCATTTCTAAGTTCCGTTTTCTTCCAGCTAAGGGAGGGAAGGGAGCATCTTCCGTTTTATGTTCAGGGTTCTGCTACAAAGAAACCATCTGGTTTTCCAAGCATTGCCAGTGAGCTTAAAAGATTCCTGCCATGTTCCAAGCGTACAAAGTATGTCTGAGTAATTCCTGTTTTATTCAAGTTCCTAAGCTGGACTTTGATGCTCAAGGATCTTTATGCTCATGGGTCACAAGGAACACACTCAAAGCATTTTGACTGGCTTCACTACAGAACCAATAGTCTTCTGCAGAGCTTTTGCTCACCTGACTCCTCTAAAGCGATTTGAACAAAGGAATGACAGACACTGAAGCCCTAATTTAGGGTAACAATATGGTCATTACTATGTAGACTTATTCTGAATAAGATCCACTAAAGCTTGAAGGAAAGACAAACTGATTTTACTCTTTTTTAATCACTGTCACTTGAAAGTTAATTCAACTATAGGAGAGCAGGTTGAAATCTATCAGCTACTTTAGAAGTTAGTCTGATGAGAAAGCCCTAAAATAGTATAGCTTTTGCAATACTAATAAGCTTCTTCACTATAAGTGTATGATGGCTAGTGAAAGTGTCCCTGCAGAAGAGGAGACTATCTCTCTGTGCAGGTCACTTACATATCCTAGAGACAAAAATGGAAGTTGATTTCAGCTCCATCTGGCTGTTATTTTACCATAAACCGATCGCTACAAAGGTAATCAGCATGTCCCAGGGCCAAGGGCATCGCTACTCTCAACCGTTGTCAGTAGCAGCCAATAACACCACCCTACAAAGTAAAGAGAAGTGACAGCAGGGAAATAATTTAGCCTATAACTGACACGTTATCCAGTTAAAAGCCATTTACCTTCTGCTGCTTGGTGTGTCATTGCTCATTTTAGTTTTGAAGTGACATCTCCCCAAGTGCCATTAACATGCCAGCAGCGGAAGGGAATTTTATGAACCCTGGAGAATTATAGCCTGGGTGGCTGCGGTGAAGCAAAATACTTTGTGGACTCTTTGTTTAAACCTACAGCTCCCATCCCATCTGAATCAGAGCTTCTAGGTACCAGACAACGCCACTGCCATCACCTCCTTGCAGCAGCCCAGGCTGAACAGACAACCATTTAGGCACCGAGGAACCCCTGGCAGCCAAGAAAGTACAGCCCTAATTCCAAATTCCTCCTTCTGGAGGAGGTAAGGGCGTACTCTACCACACTGCTATGGCAACAACTTAGCACGAAACACACAGAGAGGATGACAGGAGCGAATTCAGGGAAGCGGGACACAACAGCGTGCCCTCGCAGGGGACAAYAGGGGGCAGCTCCCCGGGAAGCGCACCCCGGGCAGGCAGCCCCTAGCCGAGCCCCGCGCTGCCGCACACACCTCGGGACAAGGGATGAATCTGCAGCACGACGTTAACGCGAGTCACCGCAGGTAACGGGAAACAATATTCATGCCAGGGAGGGAGCAGAATCTCTGCAAATGAGGCCCTTTGCTTGCAGATGAGAAATAGCACCGGGAGGGGCTCCATCCCTCTCGCCCAGGCTCCGTGGAGCCTCCCCGCGGCCTAGCTGCTCCCCAGGCCCGCGGCCGCAGCCCTCGTGCCTTCCCCCACGCGGCAGCAGCTGCCGGGGCACGTGCAGGGCCGCGTGGTGCCCCGGGGCACAGGGAGGCAGCGCCGGGCTAAGAGAAACCGGGGAGAAAACCGCGTGTCCCCCTCCCAAACCCGCAGCTCCCCGCCGCGGGGCTGCCCCTTTGCCTCGGCGGCACCTTGCTCACCCGCTGGCCGAGGCGTGAACTTCCAGGCAGGGAAAACACGCAAAACAAGAGAAAACGGCCCCAAATCCAACGCCGCAGCGCGAGGAAATGGTCGCCGCGAGAAGCGGCGCGCGGCCGCCTCACCTGGGCCAGGGCGGACGGCGCCTGCGCGAGGCGAGGGCGCCACGAGCCGTTAGAGCCGTTAGAGCCGTTGGAGCCGTTAGAGCCGTTGGAGCCGTTAGAGCCGTTGGAGCCGTTAGAGCCGTTAGAGCCGTTAGAGCCGTTAACGGTCGCCGCGGGGCGAAGGCGGGGCCAGCCGTTAGAGCCGTTAACGGTCGTCGCGAGGCCGGAAATGAGCGCTCTGCGCTGAGTTGTGCTTCAAAAGCGCGGCGCTTTGCAGCCCGCGCTGTGCCCTGCAGCTGAACTGGGCTTGTGCTGAGTTGTGTGATAGGAGTTCSCTCTGCCCTGCTACCGCTCGCTCCCGAGATTTGTTGGTTCCTTAATTTTCACCCTCGCCAAGGAAGATTTAAAATAATTGCGCTTTTAAGAGGGGAGTAAGGAAGCGAGTGTGTAATGGCATTGCTTGCATGACTTACTGAAGCCAGCACTGTACTTKCATCATTTCTAGTACAGTTATTACCTTTTGCTTTTAATATGTTATTATATAAATATTAATCACGTATAGATGTACATAGAATAGTAGAATCTGGCTGGCAGTGTGGCCCCCATGTGGGGCAAGCATTTAGCGACTTCTCTGACGTTGTCAGTTTGTGGACAAACATGTTGGAGCRGACAGTAGTTTTGGAGCGCTGAAATGCTGCTGGTGCAACTTGGTGCAAGGCATCAAGAGAGACCTTGGAGAGCAGCTTCCTGCTGCTGCGTGGGGACCCTCAGCAGCTGGAAGGCTATATGGCATTCATGTGCTTCTGCATCTGTCYCATCTTCTATCTGCAAGAACATCTGCATTGTGTACCAGGCCAGCAATGCTCGCCAGTGCGTCCGTTCAGGGAGCACRGAATGAACTGCAGCCCCTGCTGTCGCTAGTCACTGCTCTTCAGCTTGCTGCAAATAAATTGTGAACTGTAACCTCTCCAGTGTCTCAGCCTYGTGCTGCTTCATAGAATATCCCCTCTGCAACTGGGCAGAGCTTTTCTCCTGAAGCCCTGTACCTTTTTGTCTTGCAGGGAACAGTTGTGCTAAAATAGAACTTGCATAAATGTGAACATCCAAGGCCTAGGACTCTCCTGGGATCTAACTCTCTATTGAACTCGTTTTCAGCTATCCATCACAAAGCATTATTTCTCCCTTTTGCATTGCTCTATGTCTGGATTGGTTTTTATTTATTTATTTATTTTTCGTTATCTTTTAAAGCACTGAGGAAGCCCATCCCCTTCTGCTCGAGCCACAGGATGATAAAATTGTTTTTCCCTCTAGCTCTTTTCAATGCATCATTTAGCAGGCCTCCTCTAACATGTTCTGAAAAGCCTCTCTTTATCCCAGGTGGGTGGCAGGGAGGAAGGAAATCTGCAGACTGGTGGGACCATGCGGTTGAAATCCATCTAGGTTTAAATAGCTCAAGGTCAGCTCAGGATGGTAAGGACAACAGCAGAGTTCTAGAGAGTTTGTTCAATGAAGTGTTGATTGGGAAAGTTCTTTCAGATCCCTGCGGAGCAGAATCTGGAAGAAATGTGTTTTCCAAAAGGAGGACAGCGGGTTAGTTGTTAATGATTTCAATAAAGCAAGAGAAGGCACATTAGGAGGTTGGCTATAAGGGTAAAAAAGGAGGCTGGTGTATTGCTCATTAGCGATTTGCTAAAATTAACTCCATTACCGTGTTTGCTTTTATTGCAAACCTTCCATTTAATTGCAATTACCACTGAACTGCAAAGAATGGACCCCGCTTCGTGCTACAGGTTGTTAGTGTAAGAGAACGCAGAGCTAGGATGTGTGAACAGCCGTCTCGGGGATCATCTCAGTGATGTAGCTGAACCACTTTTCTGGTTTTTACTATAGAGATATCTCTGCAGRAAAGTGCAGGAAAGTGTTTACTGTTCTCTTGAACTTCAGGCTTCATGGTTTGAAGTCACTGCAGACCCTTTAGCCTCTGGTTTATCCTGCTTTCCCAGTCACAGAGAGTCAGGAAGAGGCAGCCTTTTCTGGAAACAAAAGCCAATTCAGATAGGGCGAGTTGCAAGTGGCAAGGCAAATGGAAAGAGGCTAAAGGAATAGGAGCCAATAATAGTTCTTTGATGGAATCAGTCAGTCTTTAGTTCTATGACTTGTTTCTTTAGGCTTCTTAGGAACAGTTTTAACACTAGTTTGAGTCTGCATTGTGTACTGAAAGCAGATGTTCTTGAATGCAGTTAGCTACTAGCAATAAAAATGCTAAGTGTATGGAGAACTCAGTAATTCAGTCATGTGATTTTTATTTCTGTATTTTCGTCACTGACCTTAAAATGGCACTGAAAAATGGGAGCAGATTGTATTTAAAATGGAAGATGGTTGTCAAAAAAAAAAAAAAAAGGTGTGGGGGGTGAAATGTAACCATGCCTATTTTATTTAAGACTTGTGGAGAAAGAGTTGTATCATTCTGGTAGAAGTTTCCAAAGCTCTGTTTCCTGGTATATATTGGTGTCTTGTGTCTGTGAATCTGATGCAGATAGACTTCATTCACAGAGTGTTGCAGACAGGGAGCTGCTTCTAGCGGAGCCTGGCTTGTGACAAGTGGAAAATGGGGTGTGCAGAAGGAGGTCTGACTAGATATCAGCTGCTGGCTTGCYGGACAGTGAGCTGCTACTGGAAAAGGGAATGCTGGCCTGGTTAACAAAGACATCTGGGAGTCAGAACCCCAGACTGCCTCTCTAGCTGTGCAGCTTTTCTCTGACTTGCAGCGTGTCTGCCTTGCTGTGCATTGGTTTGGGTTTCCTTTGCAAAAAGAAGAAGTAAGGGGGAGCATTATAAATGCAGCTGCGTAAGTAAGCAGTATTTATGTTCAGCAATGCACTRAAAAAGCAGAAAACACTCTTTGGGAAGGAAATGTTTGTTACTTTCCCAGGAGGGAAAAAAAAAAGGCAAAGAAAAAGGAAATGTTTATTTCAGGTTGAATGAAACTGATTTGTTTCAGGAGGAAGAGAGAGGTTAGCTCTTCTGTTACAATTTGTCAGATTTTTCAAGTAAAGCATCTCTGTGATTAAAACAATGAGTTTGCTGAAAATGACCAAAATATATTTCTTTTTCYCCCAAGTTTGTTATCTTTCACCAAAAAGAGCTTACAAATTTGAGTCATTAGTCTCTCTGCATATTTCTATCAATAAAATCTTTGCTAGACATCTGAGGGTTAAGACCATTTCCTCCAAGGGGCAGTGGTTATTTAGTTCATTTGTGCGAGTGCGCAATGTGCAGTGACTGGGGTCCCAGGGCTCCGGCGCAGCCTCAGCCAAGATCAAAAGAAATAAGCAGTATCTGTCCCTACCGCGTTTATCCCTGGGAGCCCTGATAGTGCTGACAATGACTGTGCGAGCGTCGTTATTAATGCTGAAGGGGACTCTGTTATGTTGTTATGCCGGTCCAGATACCGTTTATTTTTTGTGCTTTCTGAATACTGCTCTTGAAGGACAAGTAGCTTTTTGAAGCAGGCCAAGGTTAGACATAGTACGGATTTTATTCTTTCCCCTYTCCCTGCCATCTATTTTTTTTACATTGCTGCTTGTTGATGGCACTGGGTGGATGAATGAATCTCTGGGCAATTCTTTCTCAATTGGTGAAGGATGAGCAAGGGGCACAAGTGTCAGGCGTGTTAGATAGGCTAGGAGATACCCCWGATTAGCTAAGACAGTTAGAACTGTTTTCAGCAGCATTCGGGCACGCGGGGAGAGAGCAGGAGGAAGAGCAGACCCAGTCAGCCAGCATGAGAATGGAGAGAGCTGAAGGACAGTTTCCTAAGCAGCAGCAAAGCAACGAACCCAACCCCTCTGGTACCAATCAGCTTTGATGTGGTTCTGAAATCAGCTCGTGCTGGGTCTCTGAAGCAAAACATTTCTTCTGCGCTGCAAACTGCTGTTCCCTGCAGAAAATTAATAAGGAAACTTCGGATTCCACCCCGTGTCTGACCTAACCAGCTAAATAGGTTACACTTAGTTTTAAGAAATGCCCCAGTTTTCCTCTTAATAGGCAATTTTTCTGCTTAATTTGCAGAACAAGCAAAAAGCTATTATGTAAAATTTATCAGCAGCAATTGCTCTCATTAGAGATTGGGAGCAGGAGGCCTCATCATATGGGAGAAGAATTCTCCAAATTTTTGTTTCTCAGCGTTTATACCTTTCCCAGCATTTATACACTGAACAGATTCAGACTCCAAGCTATCAGTATTTCTTCCCCATCCTCACCTTCTTCCTATCCAGTTCTACAAGTCCTTAAGCATTGAGCAACCAGTCGTGTTACAAGCATGTGAGCCAGGCTGAGTGAGGCACCTGTAAATTGCATTCTATTATTAAAGTGTTTGAGCATGGATTTTGTCATGTTGAGCAAACTCAGTTCCAGCAGAAGCATTTTGCTCCAGAGAGTACAGATCCTTCTGCGTGCAGAACTCCTTACAGGGCCAAGGAGTCAGGCCATAGGCATATCAATGTGCCCACAAGATACAGGCTATTTGCAGGGCCAGCAATGCAGCTAATTCTAAGGCAGAATTCAGTTATTTCTCCTGTACAGGCAGAGGACGAATTGTTATTGTCTTATTTTTTGGATYCAAGCCTTTGTCAGATGGATGAACATTTTCTCTCTCAGTGCTGAGGGAGGACCATGCTGCAGTTGCTGAAAAATACAGAGAGATCCTCTCTCTAGATTAATGGTGGTTCTGCCTGTGCCTGGCTTTGCTGTCATGTCAAAGGGCATTTTTCTACTGATCTCAGGGGAAAGATGCTGTCTCTTATACTGGGCAAAACTACTCAGGAAGTCTAGAAAGAAGCTGTTCATATTAACACTTCAAATGCTTTTGCAGTCCTCATACCAGATAAAATGTCATGGCTTTTCCCTCCATAAATCTTACTCGCATATGAGAGAGATTCAGCCTTTGTTCAGCTGCATGAAAGTGAGTGACCTGAGTCTAGAAACATATTCCTGAGTCTAACATCTTAACCAGGAGTGATATAGTTCCTGATACCCTCTTAARCTGCCTTTTCTTGGTGCTGTTTTCTCCCAAGCCGTGCAGTGGGTATAGCAGTCATAGAAAGAGCTGCTGGCTGTGCTTCCTTGAGTCCTAGAATGGCACGATCTGAAATTGCTCATGTTTTCTTCATGCTGCAGCTGGAGACAGCTGTGACTTGTGCTGTGTAGAGGGACAGGTAAACTGTGATATACCTTCCTATGAGAGACATTAGGGAAGTGGAAATTATTACCAACATCGAAACATTCAGATGGGGATTTTTCCTTTGCTCTTCCCCCTACAGTAAATGTTAATTATACATGAAGGTTCACTACAGCAGAAGGGATTATAATTAATTTATATTTGAACTATAATAGATTTCACTACAAACTGCATTTCATTGCAACAAAGTGTATTATGGCTGTTGTTTGGTGCCAGTAATTTACATAAATCGACCACAAAGCATTGCATCCATTAATCCTGCGTTAAGGACAACAGCAGGCAGATAAGACTTTTTTTTTTCATTTTCTTTTTAAAGACAATTCTGTTCAACTTGTGAACAGAGACCTTCTGCTTGCTGCAGAAGGTATGTAGTATAACCAGAGAAATGCAGGAAGGATGCATGGCACAGGGAATTTGAAAGACAGCATTTGGATGCTTGGCTGCTTGCTGTCCCTTCTCCCTCTGATCCCCATAGAACAAGCTTCTGGCTGCAGACAGGAGCTTCATCCCTGATGGCCCAGTCTTAGACTGCAGGAAAGGGCAAGCTGGYTTGTCAGGGACTTGAGCAAACAGCTCGGCAGCTGTTGTGCACAGCTGAGAGGAAAGGTCAAGGACAGTTTCCTCTGCTGTTCCCAGAAGTTCTTCCCTTGCACTGCTGGGCTTTGGCCAAGCAAGGAGTAATGCAAGAAAAGCCTGGGGGAGAGAAGCATCAGGAACAGGCAGCATAAATAATTTCTTCTTGCCCAGCGAAGGACAGAGAAGAAATTCTGGCTTAGTGGTGAGGCTCTGTGAAAGATGAAGGCATTCTCCCTAAGCAATGACAACCTTTTCCAAAGGAAAGATTGCTGGCTGTAGAAATTAGTGGCCAGGTCACTGATTACCATTTTGCTCCTTATCACTCATGGTGGGAATCACAGTGGAGCAAAAGATGTTCATGGAGACTACATTTCCTGTGYCACCCAAATACTTACACTGTTCTAAAATGAGACTTGGTCTAGGCTGAGATGGAGGAAGAAAGGGACAGGCATCTCTGTCGCTTTCAGTGGCATTGCCTTTCAGCCTGGAGTGTATTCCAGGTTCTCCATGTCAGACCTGGGCTACTTAGATCTATCCTGTACTCGTACCTATACCTCGGTTTATTTCAGCTAACCAGGCTGTCCCTATCCAGGGTTTTAGGGCTTCTGTTGTTATTTTTTTGTTATTTAGAACTTGGTTAAAAAATGCAGTAAGTCATGAGACAAAGCAAAATGCTTCAGGGGAAGACAGTCTGCAAAGCCAGATGCAAATGCAGCCAACCAGAAATATATTATTGAGAGCAGGCAATTATTCTCCTATCAGAGTTGCAGGATTTCAGTGTTTCTGACGTCAGTGCTACTTCAGGACAGTGAGGCATCCATCTTTGGCAGCAGATGGGTAGAGCCATAGTTGCTTCAAAGCTCACAGCTTTCCCTGCCTTTGCCTGAGCTGCAATTAATTGAGGCATTTGAACAAGCACATGCCAATCTCTATGAGAAGGACCTTTTCAGATGACTGCAATTGCAACCTGAAGCATTCAGAAATCATGACTCCACTTCCACAAATTCTAAAATTAAGGAACAAGCTGCAGCAGCAGCCAGGACTTCAGATTTTTTACCCCCCGAGGTTTAAATCTTCTGAGTTCATGTCTCTCTGAGCTTCTTCTCGTTGAAATTGAACTTAAGTAATCACAGGGCTCTGGGAGCTAAGACTTTTCAGAAAAAGCACCAAATATTGCCGGACATGATATGTTGTAAACACTAGAAGCAGCTGAGAAAAAGTATGTCCCCAAAGAGGTGTTTCAACACCTAAGCTCATCTCCAATATGAAGTGTGCATTGGTGCCTGTGTCTAGGAGAGAGACTTGGACAGCTAACAATGTCTACAAAATGAGCCCTTGTCTCTTGAAGTCATCACATAAGTCACATGGCCTTGATACAGCCCCTGTGTGAAAAATATTTTACAGTGAACTTGTGCCCTGTTCCTTATGCATTTCACATTTTTCTGCAATATTTCAGCTTGTAAGAAGCCACTCAGTGTATTAATGATCAGGAAATAATAACGTTCCCAACCTAGGGCCAAGTATCCTCCGTCTCCCTGCCATCTGTAATCACGGCGTGTTTAATGGATGTGTGCAAGCTGGTCTCTCAGGAACCCTCGGGGCAGCGCACAGCTCTACTCCAAGCACAGTTGCTCAGCTGTTGCTGGAAAATCTAAGGCGCGTTCCAATTTTTCAGTGCCAGTTTGGTGACTTTCCCAGTGACGTCGCTCTCCGTTACCTGCTGTGGGTTCCGTGTTGTTTTGTGTCTGTCCAGGGAGCCGAGGTCACCGTGGCACAGAGGTACCTTACGTGTGTGTGTAACGTCAGCCTCCTACGGCAGAGATTGAGGGTAAGCAGCAAGAACCACGTGGTTGCAGGCTCTCCCAGCTATTGCCATTTGTGATGGAGGAGCTGTCAATCAGCAGTTGGCAGCACCAATGTTATTTTAAATCAAATACACCAGAGCAGTTGCTACTGGCTACCAAAGACGTTCTGCCAGCTTGCTTACGAATAGCCTTGCTCCCTGCTGCTGTTAGTGCGTTGTCTGTGCTTGAGTCCCTTGGGTGAAAATAAAGGCAACATACAAYATTGCAATGCAGCCATTTTGAGGGACACTTTTCAGAGTGGTTGCTTGCAACTGCTAGACTTAACACAGAGCTTGTTCTGCCGTTTAATTCATCCTTACATTTTCAAGAGACCGTCCCTAAAGAGAGCACAATTACTGGGTTTTATCTAGGAATGACAAAATAAAAGTGGATGGTCTTTGTTAAGTGGTATAAGCATAACGGCCTCCTGTAGGCATTCGTCACCATGAGACTGGGAACAGGAGAGCTTGGGATATTTTTTGCAACCCTGCCACTTCTGTGCTGTATGCTCTTGGGCAAGTCTTGCCTTTTCCCTGTGGCCCCAGAACTACCTCAGCTGAACAAAGTATGTAGCAATACTGAAGTGCCTCTAAAGACTAATTCATTGATGAAGGAATGCTTAATCGCTTTTTTATATATCTTTATATGCCAACTTCTGTTTTACTGCAAAGTAGTATTGATTATCATCATGCATATGTACACTAATTTATTATTCATTTCCTCATTGTTCCTATTTTCTGACATGATTCCTACTAGATACCTCGGGGAGAGGTTAATAAAACTCTGTCTATTTATATGACACAAGAAGGGAAGTGTTACYCTTCATACAGACCCACCCATTGTCCTAGGAAAACCCATCCGCTTGGCACAGACCTGCAAGGCACCATTCCAGCACATCTCCAGAGCGTCAGCCCAGGATTCTGCTCCAATAGATGTTGCCTTCCTTTTTTGTCTGCTGCATTTGTAGCTGCTAGACTGCCTCAGCATTGCTGGCTATCACGGAGAGAGGCTGTTTCTTTCCTGAGTAATCTCATACTACTTGTTTTTATAGGTATATTGATGGTAACGATCCTACTTCTGGATGGAAGATAAGAGCCAGGCAAAGACGTAGCTGTTGACTTTGAACTGGCATGAAAAGCTGCAATGAGGACGATATAAGGAGACACAGCAGAGTCATTACTGGTAAGAGTGAGTGCTGCAGTGACTTTGATGTGAACAATGACCCTCTCAGCGTAAAGCATATCCCTTTATTTTGCAAGAATAAAGCTCAAGACCCAGATTCACAAAGGTGCCAAAGTGATGCTAAATTCAGCAGTGTTTGAGCATCTAAATACCTTTGTAGATAAGGGCATAAATGCCATATTTAATCTGAATTAACATAGCTGAACAAGTGAAGCTTTAGCACAGTGGAACATGCTCTGTCTGAGGTTGTCTGTGTTTTCCATTGTAGCTGCCATTTTGTATTATGGGTTGGACATGTTGCCAGCCTTGCCTCAGGCAAGGTTAATGAATTGCGTTTCCTGCTATCTGCCCAGCTTCAGAGAGCTGCACTGTACCTTGCTGAAGGATCATCCCTGGGAAACTATCACACAGCAATTGGAGCCATTCCCTTTGCCTGTCCCAGTGCCTGGCCGAACGCCTTGGTCAACAGATTTGCTTCATGGGGATGCCAACGTGGTGGGCAAAATTGCCCATTAGGCCTCCTTTTTCCTCACCACCTCACTGGTCGGGTTTTACCTGAAATGCAAATTTATAAAGCAACAATAGCAATTTCACCTGCATTTTACCTGCCTCGTGCCAACTGCAGTACACAGAGGACTTGTTTTATGATTCTGATGTTCTTCTCTATCCCAGAGAGGCAGAAACTTTCTCATTTAATATTAATTTCCCCTCCATGGATTCAGGCTGCTTCTGACACTGTATCAATTATTTAAACTTGTTTAAAAATTTCAAGGATTAAAGAGATTAGCTTCTTGTTGATTTTGATAATTCCTCCTGCTTTTGCATCTCTCTGGCTGTGAGTGCAACAGAGCTACTGAGTTCCTATTTACTTAGAGTTCGCCCTATCCAGGGGCAAAATGAAAATTTTGTTCCACTTATAATTGCCAAGTTCATATCTACATTGGAAGGATCTCCAGGAAGCTGAATATTGACAAAGCAATTAAAGATCTTTTTAGTGGTATTGTTAAGTGAGCAATCACTGGTAACATTACAGAGAGGCTGTATAATTGTGTGTTTATACGCACAGTTAGGTTTTTGCAGCAGAATTTTACAAGATAACATATGAGGTTCACTCAGGTCTCTACATGAAGTAACATATGAGGTCATGTGGACCCCATTATCAGGTCAAAGAACATCAGATATTATTGTTCCAAATTTAAAGAATATTGAAAGATTGTCCGCTGCCAGCTTTGCAATGCATCTTTGTTAGCTGTGAAAGAGCAGCTCGCATGCTCAAGCCTACCAGTTAGAACCAGGGCTGGAACTGGCACTTAAGAAAATCTWCAAAAAGAGGATTAAAAAGAATAATCAAAGAGCTTTAAGCATGAAGAAGGCAAACAGGTCTATGAAATATACATGAAAACACACTAAAAACTCAGTTGCAGAGTTATCTGTCTCTCATGCAATCATTAATTCATGCTTATTTGTTTGTTTGTTTTTCTGTCGGGGAAAGTGAACTCCATCAAGGGGTTCTTTTATGTCGCCTGGCTGGTGCTGTTCCCCCAGTTGCTGCTCGTTCATGAACTCCTGTTTAGGTGACATGATTTTATGAGCTGGGTGGCATCAGTGTGAGCTGAGACAGGATTGGCAGAACTTGCCTGTGGGTTATGGATTATGGGTTTTTATTCAGACCTCTCTGAAGAAAAGCTAAAGCTCATGATATTTGAAGACTGAAATCCTTGCATAAACCCACATTCAGAGAGTCTAACATTTATTTTGAGGTCCAGCAATATCTATACTGGTAATGGTAAATCTGTTGCAGGTAAGGGCATGGGGAAGAAATCACTCTTCTGATATAATCATCTGGTTTAAATCAATCCTGTGATATCCCAGGCCTGTGTATTGCCTTAACAAACTTGTCCAACTGTGATAGTCATATCTAAGAGCAAATTTCTTTAATTACAAATTAATCAGGGAAAATAACCCAGAGAGCTTTTTCTCACAAAATATTCACCATTAGGAGGAATCAGATGGTCCATTACTTTTCTTTCCAGCTGTTTCATGCTGCATGATCGACTTTATCAGTCAGCCCCAGAAACCAATCTTCTTCCAGTCTCCAGCACAGTCCTCATCAATCACATCTGCGAGCAATGGCACTAGAGCCTCATCACTGCCTTTTCTTTGCTAGCGCACGTCACAGCTCGGAAGGAGAGGTGGAGATGTGCGTTTCCAATATCGATCATCGTCTCCCGCAGTGAAAGCACGCTGGGAGGGGAGAAGGGAGAGAGATTGCCTGCGTTTTATTTTTGTTTTTGGTGTCTGGAGAATGTGTGAAGCCTGCAGCTCCTGTTTTTGCAAAGCGTAACTGATAGGCAGTTCAGCGCCAGTGTACAGGCTTGGGCTAATAATGTAGAGCTGCAGGCTGCTCTCTTAGACCCTCTGAGTCACAGGTGCTAGTTAGACCAAGCTTACCTCTATATTTAGGTGTCATGCATCCCTTGAGCTGGAAATCCAGAAGAAAGACTTTTCTTTCAATCTTTTCAAAACTTGTCCTTTCAGAGGTCATCTGTGCAATACAGAAGTAGGATATTTGATCAGTTGCTTTTGTCAAATACTCGGGCAAATATTTGGTATCTCTTATACAGCAGTTTGTTTTCCACCTTGTTTGCCTGGTTCCCTGTTGATCTCAATTCTGCAAAAATGCAGCAAAGCCYATCCTTTCCCTCATTTGACTGCCTAAGTATGAAGAGCAGGTATTTTGTCCAAAGTCATCTGTAGAATTAGTAACTGAGACACACAGGCTTCCKAAGTTGCTGCTTCCCTAGGTACCTATGTGCCATGCTCTCTGGATCGCTTCCCATTGCTTCCTCTAAGCAGAATGAGCTTTCTCTGGGACCAGTGAAAAGCAGCATTAAGAATAAAGTGCCCAGGAAGGGGATGGCTGGAGACACAATGGTAATTAAGCTGGCAAAGAAAGTTATGTGGAATCAAATCACCTCACGCTTCCATGCCTTTCTGTCCTTTAAAAAGTACCCTGGATGCTGGTCCACACTAATTGGCTCTTCATTCTGGCAAACCAAGGAGAGATCAGCTTCTTTTTCACTGCCTTTGTGTCCCTGCTTCCCATCCGAACTTAGTTTAGTCTTCTGTGAAATTGTTTTCTCTGCAGAGACAGAGTTGCCTCGATTCTTGTAATTCCACTAGAATAATCCTTGGCTCTGTGCTAGAAAAGTGCTGAGCGTAGCCTCTGAAAGGAACGCTGGGGAGACGTAGGCATCTGCACACACACACCTTGGCGCTGGGGGAACTCAGGCAGCTCTGAAATCTCTGGATATTGCAAACTCCTCTGGCATGACATGAGTTGCTGCCAGTGCCTGCAGAGATCTGGGGCACTCGAGCATCAGAGCTGAGCATAAGGCCAGATGCGTTGCCTCGTAACACCACTGACCTTAGTGCAGTTAGCATGAAGTTTTGTCGCAGAGTACTTAGGATTTGGGCTGATGAAAATCATAACTTCAGGCTTATCTGCCTGTGTAATTCTGCGGTACAAAAGGGGAAGATCTAGTCCTAATTATTTAACTAAATTAAGGCTCTCCATCAGCCCCCCGTGACTGAGATAAGCGTTGTCCTCATTTTTGCAGAGATACACGGATGCTAAGACATGGTTCCTGAGTGGCAGGGCCTWGAATAGGTCTTAAAATTCCCATCTCACCAGCTGAAGCTCCAACCAGTGAAGTGACAGCCCAAAAGGAGGTATAGCTATCACACGTGCGTGTAACATAAGGGAATGCTGTTGTAGGCCTCCTTGTACAACCTTGTAATTCTTTTCCCTTGCTGGATAACTGATGACAATAATACTGAGCTTAACAATTCCCAGTTAGACCAGAGCGTGTCTCTCTCTGAGAGCTAGCCAATAGCAATTTTCAGGTATTATTGACAGCCTACCATTCCAGCCATATCATACCCGGCCCTGGCAGACAGATCATTGCTTACTGGAGAGGGAATATGACTTCTTTGAGAGTTTGTCACATGTCAGTGTTGGACCTTAGGTTATCAGAGTCCCCAAAGGGCAGCATTCAGGAAATGCTTATCCCTTGGGCAGTTTATTCTGTAATTTCCTGCTRTTTTATTTGTTTCTGAATCCTGGCCAGCAAGAAGATGTAAGGTAGATTGATGTGGTCCACTTAGTGTGACTGTAGCCACATTCATAATCTGCTTGTTGGACTCTTGGACCATGGTACACTGAACTTTAATGAAGTCTGATAGGTAGTTGAAAATTTGATGCAGTTATATCAGCCAGAGTAGATTTAATGAGAAATCAGTTTATAGAATGTTTTGACATGGCTCAAGACAGAAGGATGCAGAGCAGGAATCCGAAAGTAGTTAGATAAGAATTGACATGTGATTATGGGGTCTGTCACTCAGTATTTAAATACAGTAGGTGATGTATTCCTCACACAGATGTGAAGAACTGAAAATGCTAGCATCATCTTGCAATGACACTCAAAATAACTACGTTTAATTAATTATGTAACATAGCAGGAGAACACTTTAAAAAGAATATAGGGCACCTCAAGGCATCAAAGACAGTTTTCCCCGTTTTCCCATAGTTTTGGAGAAGTATGGTGTCTCTCATGCAGAAGAAAGAATCCAGTAGCCTGTGGATTCACATTTCAGCTTATTGCTTTAAATGCAGTGAATTGGGCAACCCATTTCCTGTCTCTCTCATTGATAAAGTCATCTGAGTACATCAGGTGTGATGGATCATTTCAATACCRTGTCTTCTATCACGGAAATGGAGCTTTCCCTCTCCTTTTAGATAAAAGCTGCTAATATCTGAGTCTCCATTCCAGTCAGTCAGGCCATCAGGCTCCCTGACAGCACATTTGTGTCACGAACATGTGATGCTGCTCCCTGCTTCACTACCCCATACAATAAATACTGTGGAGCCAGAGCAAGAAATGAGAGGGGGGATTTACAGTGCACAGTGTTGTATGGCTTGTAGGCTAGGTTCATCCCTG